TTATAAAGATGATCAATGAACATAAATTGGTATTTAAGTTCTACGTCTTATGATATATTGCTCTAAGTCTCTAACTTCTCTCTTTTATCAATGACCTCTACTGATTAGTGCTTAAATTTTAGATTAGTGCATTTCAATTTTCATATTACCTTTTTCTATATTTTTCAATTTATATTTATTGATTTAGCCATTTAGAGCTAGTAGTATGAATTAATTCACCCAATAAAAATCAAATCCAAAGAGCAACTAAATCCCCTTGTGGTTATAGAGGTTCAAATACGATAACTTCGGACTACTTGATATTAGTCGCTCACATAACGTGTTGAATATTCAGGTTAGTTAAAAAAATCAAATTTTTATAGAATAAAATTATATAATATAATAATATAATTTTTTGTTAACAAATGATAAAAAGACAATCAGAAACAACACTTATCTCATTCGATTAATTAAACCGTTTAATCCACATACCAAATAACCTAATACCAAATAACCTATAACCGTTTTAATTGAATTATTCGGAGTTTAGATTATTGACTTATTTCAATGTGACATCAATAATAATTCAATGTGACACCAATAATAAGCACTTTTAAATATTTGAATAAACAACTTATACCGATATCAAACAGATAATAAGGAGTTTTTGAAGAAGTTAAACTATCCTAACTTATAATAAGTTGACTAGGTAGTTGTGTACCCGCGCAATGCGGCGGGAGCCATGAATTTTAACGATTTTGAAGTTTCACTGGTTTTATAAGATAAGATTTAAAGATGATATAAATTACATTTGGTCATTGCATACTAATACATTTTAAATAAATAAGAGTTATGGTTCCAATTACAGACTATCGATGAAGAAAAAATTTATGACAGTTTAAAATCCAATATATTTAAAATCCAACATATTTAAACGACTCTACAAATGTGTTCGATTTACACCAAGAGCAAAGAATCAAGAAACTTGAGTTAGTAAATTATTAGCATTTCTTGTACTCAATTTTATACTAATGAAAAACATTTATTGAATTTTTTTTTTGTATTTACCGAAGGTCACTACAAGAAAAGTGAGATTTGACGATGAGCCTTTTAGCGATGACATGTGTCACAAGTTATA